ATAAAATATATATGTATAGTATGTATGTACATATATGATTTCAAAAATGTAATAAAAAACTTGAAATTTACACAAAAAAAATAGTAATTAACGATAAACGCTTTATAAAAATTAATTTTGAATTGATAATTTCACTCTCTTCTGAATAAAATAAAAATCACAACATTTTTCGACAGCTCTTCGTGGTAGCCAAAATAAATGGCCGGACACTCTTCTTCTCCTGGGTAGCACATTTTCAGCTTAAAGCAAGCGGTTTGTATTTAAAGCAAATATTAAAGCTACAAAAGAACATTTAAATTATAATTAAAGTTGAGAAAGCYTTTCGAGACAATTTTGAAAAGCTTTTACTGAAAGCTCATTTTAGTGTAACTGCCTCACGTAMCTTTATTACTTATTATTTTTCTTTTCAAGTAATTCAAATCGTCATGACGTGTAATTAGAGCTCGAATGAAAGCATGTAAGCTCAGTTACTTATTAGGGCTTCCGCTCAGTAGCTCACTAAAGCTGCAGCTATAGGTGGGGTCATTTTAAGAAAATACGAAAAGTATATAAATTTATATGCATATACATACCAATATATTAGTTTTAAGAACAGTACCGAAAAAATTTTCATTTATTAGAAAAATAAAGAAGGTGTATCAAAATTATCATTAAAAAGCGAAACCTTTCGAAAGTTAAAAAAAAAATTCCCAAATGCTTTTAAAAATGCATACAAAGTTTTTGAATTGAAATTTAAACAGTGCGATTAACTTTTATCATTTTTAATGTCTTCGACCTTATAGACGCCGAAAGCTTTACACTAGTTTACGCTTTTTCGCAATTTAGTTATTTTTCGGAACACATTTTTASGCAATTTGCATTAAAGCCAAAAATGTGCTGCCCAGATTAGATTCGTTTTGCTTCAATGCTGCGGATTTTAGATAGCATTTCACTTAAGCTTTCAGTARGTATTCAATTGTAGTTATTCATTTGACTTTCACTCAAATGTGGCAATTCATTGCTAAATAATAACTCATATACTGCAATAAACTCAAAAAAATGAAATTATACAAACTTAAGTAGCTGTAACGGTATTTTCATCAACGGTAATTCCATTAAAAGCAACAATTTGTAATTTAACGAAGTGAAAGCTCGAATAAAGAAAAAAAGCTCAAATAATAAGCTTTATTAACAATGGTGAATTTTGTGTTATGAAAGCTCATAAAAAAAGCTTTCGCATCATTTTTTTTGTATTTTAGTGTACAATTGAAGGTTTGTAATACTTAAGAACTTTATGGAAGCGGCGGTCATCAAAATTTTTGAAACAAAACTTTTTTTCTCGTTTAAAAAACTTCAACTAATTTTGTAAATGCGGTGCTGTCTTGAACAAATGCAAAAAAAACAAGTAATAACAACTTAATTTTCA